TTAGTACTATTCAAAGAAATATGTATTAAAATTTAATAAATTTTTTTCAATGTATATAATTTATTATATTTATAAAATTTTATTCAATTTTTATGTTCACAAAGAGTCATCTTGTTTTCACAATAATAATAATTTTCACTGTAATTTCCATAAAAAAGCACATAGTATAATCTTCTACATACCTAGGTGTGAAAAATTATTAGTTTGTTATTTATAAATATTTTCACAATATGAAATCTTTTATAAAATATTTTTCATTCAAAATATATATATTTTAAAAACTGGCGCGCGATTTTATTTTACAAAAAATCTGTCCAATAAATTTTATATATATATAGCTTATAACCAAAAATTATAATATAAACAGATTAAATAAACATTATTGCGTGTATATTGACGTAATATGAAGCTCCGAATACGTGTCGAAGATCCAATGAAATTGGTGCAATCACGATAGTTTGCGTGAACATAAACTAATGACAATGTTATTTCTTGAGTTTCCGAACGGAATTCTCCAATCAATATTCTCGTACGAGTTCTCAAATCAGATAATCCGGAGACTGAACCACTCATAATGAATCTGATCGATTGAATTGGGACATCGCGTATGTGAGACGACACATATCGAAGATGAACCTGAAACGCATCACTAAAGCAATTTAGTCGCGGATTCTAAACCACGGTAGCGGCGTCGCGAATAGAAAGTTCGGAATGGAATTCACACGATCTCGACTAGATTCTAGAGTTCCCCAAATTTTGGTGGCAATTAGGACCGATGTTCAATGGACGGTCTCCGGCCGGCGGATGGTACGGCGAAGTTACGAGAGCGACTGGAAATTAGTTTGGGCGTCGAAATGTGTGAAATGATAGGAGTGGTGAATTGTGATATTTATATTGTAATTCTATTATAAATCGAATATATGTACGTGCATATGTATGTATGTACCGCATTGTAAATTTAACACGTATGAACATTGCAATATCGATGGAACTCCTCTTATTGCGTACTTCAATTGTTCATTTAACTTTTACTCGGCAAATCGCACACGTTTGATACGTGTTGCGTCAAAATTTCCAATAAACACAATAATTTTCGAAATTCAAATAAATTTAAATGTATTCTTTTTGGATCGCGAGTGTACGTGTCATTTTTGCACGACTTTTTTTATTAACTACATTAAATGGTTGACGCAATCATAGTTTTATTTTATCTGATAATATTTTGACATTTCTAAAATGTTACTTCCACCTTAATAAGCGAAAAATTGACGGCAGAAAAGCATTGAGGAAAGTAACAAGATCAAAGTCCAACTACAGAAATTCTACTCTGAAGCTTCCAGTGAAAAATGTTGGGAGCTTTCTGGCGGAAGGTAAAGTCACGTTGGAAGTCTTAACTTACACCGAGCAAAATGTGTGTTAAAAGAACCGTAAAGATTTAACTCGTACATTTTATATGGAGATAGTACTCTGCAGTCAACCGTCTTATATTTATTAAGAAGCCCGGCTTGTGTTTATTGACGAGTAAGAATTTCGAAGAGAGAACAAATTCAATATACAAACACACTTCAAAGATTTTATGCATTATACAAACACACTTCAAAGATTTTATGTTTCTTGCGTAAATAATACGTCTCTTCTCATCCAGGTGTCTGCAAAGACGATTGACCGCATTCATTGACGAAACCAAAAAGGCTATCAGAGAATTTGATCAAAGAAGAACCTTATTCGCCTCAATAGAGCAAGATTTGCAGTGCAATGCATATTTTGTTTAGAATCTTGACACTTTTGTCACACGAGAAATCGCGAATGACACACGCGTTAAACGAGTCTCTGAGAATTCCACAGAGATTACTGGCGTTACAAACTGTTCCAAATCGCATGATTTTAGATCGAAACTTTACAAGAGGAAATAATTTTACAGCTGATGATTCGTTACTTCCGCAACGTAATGTTAACAAAGGCAATATAATTGCGCGATTTAAACGAAGGAAGAGTACGCAGTCCTGCGAAAAGAATGACTCGAAACAATGCCACGAATGTATCGAGAATCATCGACAGTCTACGAAATCCTGTGAACAATCGCACGAATGGCGTAGCGATGGTTATCAGATATCGACAGAAAATAAGCAAAAGATTCGCAGCGACTTATTGAATCATGACAAATGTTACCAGTCGATTGAATCCAATCCCTCGAATTGCTCGGACAAATCTGTACCATACAACAATCAGCAAGCGTGCGAGTCACCGAAACACGAGTCTTATACATCGAAACCAGCGACTCGAATAACGTCTGAGAAATGGACTTGCGGAAAACCAGCAACGGAAGGAAAGATTTATTTTAAATGCAAGCCGAAGTCGTGCATTTATCCGGACAACCAGAAAGAACCGATGCATTCGCCATCGTTACGAGACAATTGCAAAGACGAGTCGAAGCAAACTGCATCTTATCCTACGCTATGTTCTAAATCAGAGACTTTGTCTTCCAAAAAAATTACATCGAATGAGAAGGGAGCTTGTCTTAAACATAAAATACCAAAGGAATATCCTACGTCAGATCCATACGAGCATTACAGAAAACCCGATCCTCCACCGCCAAGATATCCACATTGGAGTGAAAATCCACCGCCTTACTGCGATTGCTTGAAAAAGACGACCCCTTCATCCCTTGTTAAAGCCTCACCAATGATGTTCATCCCTGACAAGGGACCGCGGAAATCCCGTGTGAAAGACACTGCGTCACTTCCACAGAATATTCATGAGACTCCCAGCAAGAGCCCGAAAGGAAATGAGTGCGATAGAACAAATGCCAAGGCACTTCACTTGCAGAAGAGTGCATCGAAAAAACGTAGCACGATCTCTTTCGAAGACAAATGCGCTGCTTCTTTGACAATTCCTGAGCCTAACAGAATAATGGAATCTAAAATTCAGCACTCTCCAACGCTGACGAGAGACGGTCGTTGTTACGTCGAGAAACCTGAAAAAAAATTTCTCACGCCGGATGTCAGCGATTGTAACCCCAATATGGCGAGTTTCAAATATCGATTGAGTAAATGTCCTGACATTAAGGAAATGTGGAATATCGACATTAAACGCGAGCCACCTGTTGACGTTAAAGTGGGACAAGAGCAAGCAACTCCTTTGTCCGACTATAAGAAGATAAAGAGATCAGAATCGCGGCGAGAACCTACAAGAAGAAACAAGGGATTCAAGTCGCGGGTACCGAGTAACGGATGGACACAACAGAAGTACAAGGTTCGCTTGAAGATTTTCCAGAAAAGAAATAGTCTCAATCCTTGTCTTCCGCAGATCACCGAACTGATACAATCGCGCGACGAAAAAATGCAGTCGAAATTGTTAAACTTTGCTATGAACGAAGGCGAATCTTTGTCGCAATTGAAAAGCTTGTGCCATCCATCCAAGATTGCCGAGACGAAGAGTTATCCGACGAAAATGATCGAAAGCAGTTTGATTTGCAATCAAGATCTGAGAAAACAACCTTGCAAAAAGTGAAAACGCTGAACTTTTGGAACTACTTTCCGATATAGAATATTTGAAAGTTGTGTTGGCAGATTCAGTCAATAGTTATTTTAAGAATTTTCAAAATTTACATTTATTCTTTCAATACAAACATAAACTTTAATGCGTTAAAAATAAAAGAGAATGTAATAAACGCGAAATAAAGAAACAGAAGCACATAACTAACATTATTTTAAAAATTAAAATTTTGGTACAGCTTAATTGTAGTTATTACAGTAAATTACATACAAAAGTAGTGCGTGCGCAACTAATGTAATTATCTTTAAACAATTATTTAATTCCGCTAAAATGGCAGATTTTTTGCGATGATAGTAATTTCTGTGACAACGAACGTTTAAAGTGCTCATTTAATTAATTTTACTTTCTACTATTTATATTAATAGGAAGTAGTATAACAGTGAATTTTAAGAGAAATATATGTACGCGATATGCAAAGGTGACATTATAAAGGTGTAGAAAAGGGACATGCGGAAATGAAAAAATGCAGCTCGCGTGGCTTGAGACGGCTGCAAAAGAAGTCTGTTCGCAGCAGCTGGCCTCTAACTTTTCACGTTTATCATTATCTCACCCTCTCATCGTACACCCTTATTTTTGCACTCGGTGGAACAAACTTGCGCATCAAACGCCGTTGTTTTATGGCCAGTATACATTTTCATTTCTGTCGGGAAATGATATATCTCGTAGCCCTAATAAACGCGACTCGGGATTTAGTGAGCATTTATCTTGTCTACATCGGAAATAATGAGAAAAAATAAAAACGCACGAGTTTGTGTTAATCCAATTCTAATAATTAATTAGAAGTCTCGTGGTAGATTACAGATTTTGCACCTTCTAATTCATGTTTTTTCGATTTTTTAATAGAAATTTCATAGAATATTAACGCTGTAAAAATGTTAATAAATTAAATACGTTCATTAATTATTAACTAATTTTCGTAACTTAACAATAAGAGAAAAAAGTGAGAGAAGAAGAAAGAGAGACAGTTGAGATTAAAATTTGTAATATAATATGTATGTAATCTTCTTATATAATTGCACATGAGATGTACATTTTTTTTAGAATTCTAAATTTGATTTATATATTCTACATTTATATACTTATACATACTTATATACTACAATATTTATATACGCTTACACACACAATTGGTTTTCTTTCCACATTCATTTAATGAGTTCGTAATACATACAAGCAGCGGATGTTAGATCGCTTCAGTGATTCAAAATTGTTACCCATTTAGAAGTACATTAACCTGCACTCATTTTTCTCCGTCATTGAAATTACACGCGATACGGTAAAACAGCGGAAGAACTGCTTGTATAGATCACTGCTTGTAATGTTCACGATTGTTAACTTCTAATTGAACATCAATGAATAGCCTAAGTCGGTCGTTTTCTCTAACGGACTTGAAAACCACGGTGACATTTCACGATACTCATACGGAACTATTAACATTGTTACAGATAAATGATGATTGGTTCCACATGGAGCATCGATCCGTGGCGAAGAGGTCGACGGAACCACATCTCGAAATGCACCAAAGACTAATGAATGACTTCAGAGTACGTCGAGCGGAGCAACAGCGGGCAAAATCGCGTACTAAAAGGGATCTTATAATCAAACGTCCGTCCAATATACTAACCATGCTAAACGATGAGAGGTGGCCTCAGATGTGGTATTTGGTAAGCAATTTTAATCAACAGCAAATAATATTTATTTATCGGTGCAACCGATAAATAATCTTGTCGCACACAGTGTTCTGTTGTATTGCACCACATATGATTTTATACAGTTAAAGTATCAAAGACAAAAATATAATATTTAAATAGAGAAAATGTAGTAATTTATATAAATATATTACAAACTTGTGCAAGTTTACATTTAATTTAATAATAATTGTGTACCTTCCATATTATCGATAAACGTAAAAGGTGCAACAGCGTTTTATGAAACTTTTTTGAAAGAGCAATTAATAAATACAGTATAAATTAAATAAATAAACAATACAATGAAAAATTAAAGAAACTACAAAGTGAGTTCAATCATTATCGAGTTAGAAAGGACGCCGACGTTTTTATCGTAAATGAAGACTCACCGGAAGTAGTATGTCGAAAGTATTGGATAATTTTTCTTTTCAGAATAGAGGAAAGGGGTTAGACATGAACGTACAAGGTGCTTGGGCTGAAGGAATTACAGGAAATGGCGTCGTCGTCACAATTCTTGACGATGGATTAGAGAAAGATCATCCAGATCTTTTTAAAAATTATGTAAGTATATTTGAATATTTTACATCTTTTTTTTTAAATTTATCAACCGGATTTAAAAAAAAATTTTCTAGCGTGATTATAAAGCAAACGCATTTATAATATTAAAAAGTTCTGCATTTAACTTACGTTTAAAATATTACAAACTGGAGAAGCAGTCATGTTCAAATAAATTGCGTTTTGTAATTTCTTGTGACAGTTCTGGTAATCTTGTGAAGTAGCTTTCTATTTGATTAAATTTACGCGAATAAAGTAAAATCGCAAGGGCTTAATATCTACTTAATGTTGCTCGATGAACGAATGTTCGATGCGTAAGTACGTTTGCGACATACGAAAAAAAAAGCGAGGAAAAGTTCTAACAGAACATACAATAGAATATGGCGGATGAAGGCATATCATGGATGCACTGGGAGTATCAGCTCTTGAATGCGAATATTGGAAGGGGGTTATCCAGCTCATGTATACGTATACCAAATAGCTATTGATTCACGGATGGTTACATTGAATGAGGCATCCGCGCACGTAGTAGAAAGTGAATCGTATTAATCAACCAATAGGCACACGCTGCGATGGTGCGCCTTAGAGCATGCTCTGATTATGCGAGCTTATATTCCATCGCATGTATTTCTCATTATGCAGATAATGCATTAATGAAAAGGTATATTAAGGTATATTAAGAAGATATCCGGTTATGCGTGGGATTAAAACATAATACTTTGTTGCTCTAACGACAATAACGTCTAATTATAATACTACTACAGTAAAAAAAAAACAGAAATTTATTTCGCTTACGACAATTTTTAACGTATATAATTTTTCATTAAAATCTTTGCTAAAACTTCTCTCGCACGTTGTTTCATTATGTACTAAATGTCTCTTACTTGTTCTGGAGTTATCTAAGTGTGCACATGTTATATTTTTTATTCAATGAATATTCTACTTGTATATATACACAAATCTTCGTTCCTCGCAATGAGAAAGCAGTGAACAGGATTCATGAAACGTGTGAATTTTAATTAATGCCATTCTCGGTTTCTGTTGTAGGATCCTCAGGCTAGTTACGACGTCAACAATCACGATGAAGATCCCATGCCGAGGTACGATCTCGTAGATAGCAATCGACACGGCACCAGGTGTGCCGGAGAGGTTGCAGCCACTGCCAACAATTCTCTTTGCGCTGTAGGTGTTGCTTTTGGAGCTGGCGTAGGTGGTAAGTATTTTCTTTGAAAAGAATTATTTAATGTTTCGATGCGCTTTAAGAAAGAGACTTTATGTGCATTTTTTAGAACTTTTTTATAGGTATAATTTAAGAGCTCTCAATCCGTGTTTTATCTTAATCTTGAATTGGACGCAAGTAATATTAAATTTTAATTGCTATTTTAATAAAAGCTTATTGCGCAAAAGTTCGAGTGTAAGATAAAAATAAGGTATTAAAAAACTTTTAAGAAAAAAAAAAGGAAAGTAAAATATTCAAGATATATTAAATCGTCGGAAATGACAGTTTAATTCTGAGCAATCACTTAAATCTATTTACAGTTCTGTTTCCAATTAACAGCAGCGAAGTCAGTGTCGAAACTCACGTTACTGTTAACAACACGTGTTTGTAATAAGCAGAATTGATATCGCGAGGTCGCATCATTTTCGAATTAGAATCGGGATTCGCAATAGCCTATTACGTGCATTACATTCGGAACTGATTCAAATCGGTGCGCGGTGCCCAATTTCGACCTTGTAAATTGGAATTCTCTATTCCACGTACCACCGTAATTATGTAGGATAATTAACTCAAACGAGGAATCTATGCTGTTTAACAGTTTGGAAATTCCTTATATATATACATGTATATGTATATATCTAAATACATTCTCAGAAAATTAGCGATTAAAGATTTGTATAGAATATATTTCTATATACGTGCGAAAATTTCATTATTTACGAATATAATATGCTATCATAATGTTATATAATGTTAATCGTTAATGCAAGTATATATATATATAATGATTCAGATTGAATTATTTAAGCATTAAAGATCTAACTTTGACCGTTATTTACGACCATTACTTCTATTGCTTATTGTTGAATTTTCAAATGTACGGTCTAGTAAAATTCTTATTATGAATCGTTAACTTTTTATAATTATTTTTTTAAACAGGTGTTCGAATGCTGGATGGCGACGTAACAGATGCCGTCGAAGCGAGATCTTTGAGCCTTAATCCTCAACACATCGATATTTATAGCGCCTCGTGGGGACCGGATGACGATGGCAAAACTGTAGACGGTCCTGGTGAATTGGCCACCAGAGCTTTCATAGAGGGAATTACCAAAGTGAGTGTTTGCTATAGAAAATTGTATTATTATTTATACTTTGCATCTAACTTATATATAATTTTATTTAGACGCAAATCATAAAAAATTCTTAAATTTTTTTAAGATTTCTTAAATTTATTACTTTAATACAATTATATTTATTTTCTTAAATTTTAAAATAAAAATACAAAAGTTGGATAAAACGAATTACGTTCATATTTATTTTTATTTAGTTATTTAATTTAGTTTTGATAGTTGGCAATATTTTCTGCTAGAAAAATAGATTTATTCAAAAAATTATTTTAAGATCGAGATACTTTGTTATACAACTTTTTAGTAGCAGCTTTCTTCGTAAATATTATATAAACTTCGTTTGCCTAATCAAGAGATTATTTATCAAGGATACTCGTAATAATAATAATTTTAATTGTCATATCTTTTTCATTATTATGTTACGAATAAGTTGAAAGGAAGTATGTCGCATGTCCTGAAGCTTCAGACTTCGACGTAGCAGCGTAATCCACTTAGGACTGCAATTTTCTTCGCTATAATTTCCCGCGCTATGACAAGATAAATGCAATTAGCTGCAAGGTACCTCCGTACGACATGAAAGCTTCTAGTTTGCTTTAAGATACTTCCTTACTTTCAAGTGTCAAGCAGAGAATTTTAAAGCTTCGCATTACAACGCTTATGCTTTGTTAATATGTTGCATAAAGAACATTGACAGTATTTAAACATATTAAAATATCCTAGTTATATAGATACTCTTGGTATTGTTCAGATAAATGATATTTTTTTAATGAAAAATTAAGAATTATAATTAAAGATCTTCTTATAGGTATAAAAAATTCTTAGAAAAGTAAAATATTTGACAATAATACCAATTGATAAATTATTTGATATAACGTATTGTAGTACTGAAATAATGATGCGAAAAGATATTCGTAGTAAATTGAAGATCATTACTTTCCGATTTTCCTACGGATTGGAATTTCATTTGTAATTAATCCCGTCAATCTCAATTTTTATTTGAGAATGAAAAGAGAATTTAATAGCTATCCTGATTAAAATTGACAAACTCCAAGTTCAATTATCGCCTTCTTGATTTCTTACATCTTGAGTCAAAGAAATACATTTAACTCGCTAATGCTTTTCTTTGTAGAACTAAATAGACAAGAAGTTGCTTTAAGTGCTGTAACTATTACAGATTTCTCGCTCAATAAGCACAGAGAAAATTTCGATATTTGTTTTTCAATTATAATATAATTACACAAATTAATTGTAATTTTTAATATAATACAATATTATAATTGAGTATTCTTCTTAATGATGTATGTATTTTATATATATTTTCTATATACATGTTTGTGTCGAAAATGTTATATCTTTTTGAATAATTACGCGAAGATCGCCTTCACTTTCTATTTTGTTATTGAAAATTCAGAGACAATGTATTTTCACATAAAAACTGAGGAATCGGTTTAAATTGAATTTTCTTATTTTTAAAATTGATTATTTTTATAAATTTTTAAAAATTATTGCGTATACGCAAAAGACATATGATATTTTATCTGTTTCGAATTTCCTTATTGAAAGACAAAATTCGCCCGTTCGTCATTAAAGCCGATTCAAAACAACGTCCGAGCAACGTCCCGGGATGAAATGAAATTCGCACAAATGTATCACGCAGAAGCATTCCCTAAAATCTTCCGAGTTTCAGTAACGACAATGGCCATTGTCATCTCGATGTATACGCCTCGGCTCTTCGATCGCGTTTGCAGCGTTCCTTTATCGCGATGGCGAACTTTAGTATTGAGTGGGCCCCTACTTCAAGTAACGATCATTAAAGCGCAAATACCTAACATTAAAACGGAGCCATCAGATGCTGTCGAGAAACTTCGGTAAAGATCCTCCGTATAGCCCATTTCTATTATCAACTTCATTCGCACGATCTTGCGTTTTATTTTATGATATAATCATAATCAGTAATTCCAAATATTAAAGTTTTTTTTTTAATTTGAGCTGTTGTTGGTTATTACAAGATTTTAATTTAATACTGGATACTATTGTTTGATTGATTCAATTTACATTACAATATGTTACAACAATTTTATATCTTAACTCATATTATAAAAACTGACACGATTATCATTGTTAAATGAGGATTTAGTTTTGATTGAATATTTTGATTATATATTAGTTTGAACATGGTGTGGCAAAGCTATCTCAACTTATATAATAATTTTTGAAGAAGACGGATAATAATATAATTTTATAGCATAATTATTGTCACATCGATATGTTAGACTGTAGAACTTAATATTTTTATTTTATTTTTATTTGTATTATTTATATTGAATTTATTGTATTTATATACTGAAGAAGATTCTGTGAGTTGGAGGAATTTACATTTATGTATTAATTATAATTAAATTATCATTATTCAAACATCTTGTTTACTTGATTGTTGGTCATTATTAAAAGTTTTGTATTTTTTTTTTAATCTTTTCGAAATTATATTTCCCGCGAAATTTATTTGAAAATAAAACACGTGATAAATTCTTTAAACAGCTTAAAAATTATACAAATTGCATAATTATGACTCATTAAAAGCGCTCTCAATATATTGACTTCTTATAGCAAAATAAAATATTAACTGTTTGAAGTTACAAAAGTGCCGAAAGATGTAATGTGTTATTAATTTTTTTCGGATTGCTACACACTATGTTGATTAAAGTCCGCATAATCAATGATTGACTTTCTTCGATATCGACAAAATTGTCGCTGGAACGATGACAGATGTAATTCGATTAGTGAGAATAGGAAGAACTCCTTCAGTTAGATCCTGGTTTAATAGACTCGCTTGAGAGGTCAGCCCTCAGAAAGTTTCTAATTGGGTGCTTTTAAGCGACCGGCTTGAGTTGCGCTAACACGTATTACCATTTTAAACTCACTACCAGCAGCGTAACTATATATAAATCATATGCAAATGTCAGTAAGGTCGATACAAAGTTCGTTGAAATATATGATAATTATCGAGTGAAACATATACATACATTGCGCAAGAAATAGTATACAGGTGCATTTTCGTCGAAACTCATAAAAAATGCGCGTAATAATCTAGACAATATATGTATATAAATTGCCATGTATAAAGTTCTATTTATATTTAAAATGAATTATGATAAAAATATGTGAAAAGTGGAAAGAGCAAGCAGAAAATCTCGTTGAATAAGCAAGGAATTATTATATAATTCTATTGCTTAAAAACCAATAATATTAAGTAAATTTCTGAAATTGGTATAAAATGCATATTACTCGCAAATTAAAAATAAAATTATAATTATTGCTTCAATAGTTTCTTTGTTTTTCAAAATTATATGAAAACATTCTCGTGTAGATGTGACCTATATTCGGTGAATGTTTATAAATAGGATCAATAAGTAATAAAATAAATAACGCTTAAATTATTTCTAGGTAGCAAATTAAATGGTCACCAAATTACTTTTATCTAATGATATCTTTTTTTTGCATACTTGAATTAAAAATCAACATCTGTATTATCCGGAATCAATTGTTAATACACAACGAAACATTTTATGGCTAAAAACGAAATTAAATAGAAAAAAATTTAGAAGTCGAAAATATCTTTTATGTTTTTAAATTTTAATTTTGTTAATTTAAAATTAAATTTATATTGCATTAATGTAAATGTGTATGAACTTTTATATAACATATTAGATCGTAAAGTTATGAAAAAAGTATTTTTAGCCACATAATACAAAAGTATGTAACAATATTATAAAAAATACAAAAACATGTAAACATTGATTTTATTCTAACCCAGAACATTCGACGCAAAAGTAAACGCGGTCGCATATCGGCCTGTAGTATGAAAGCAAATTATTAGGATGCATCGGATATCCGGAAAATATCCGGTATATCATTAAATTGTTGATTTTTTCTTTGTTATATATACAAATGTTCTAAAAACAACTATGTGTATTTATGATTCTGTAATATGTTATACATTGTTGAAAAATTACAATCTTTTTCTTTAAAGGATTTTTTTTTTTTGGAAGCCATTTTCTCCGGAAAATGGATATCCAACTCGAAGAAATCGTCTTTTCGTATATTTGAACGAATATCGGATATCTAATGTTACATCTTCTGTTCGGATATCCGGTATCCGGTAATTTTACGATCCGGTTTACTATCCCTAGAAATTATACCTCATCTAATTATTCATGAAAAAGTTATAATTACAACATTAAGAAAATTTTATAGCGCGCATATTAATATTTACAATTCAAAATGATGAAATTTACATAAAAACGTGAATAAAAAAATAGCTTCGATTTTCACTTTCCACAACGTAAATAATATATATTTTGTACCCCGTCTCGAAGTGCGTTGTTCCTGTTCGATTGCTATACAGAGACCAACTTGCCGCGAACTTTTCAACTGGTAGTTGGAGATCTAAACTAACGGTAAATAAAGCCAGAAATTCGATTTACAGCGGGGGATTATAAAATATATATACGACTGAAAAAGGGTCTTTTGGATCCCCAGTGGCATATTTAAGAGTTAAATATTTACTTTTTAAGTTATGATTTGCTTTTAGAGACGTTATAATCGAAATCTATATGTAATATGATATTTTAACATTAGATAACATATTACAATATATAATGTGATATAATGGAAATTCGTGTAATATATATAATATTATCGACATAATATTTTTATTACAGTATTTTTATATCTTTAAATAATAGTCTATTTTAAAAGATGTACTAAGTTTACTTCATATCCACCAAATGGATATAATACTAACAAGCCATTTCGTTGTTCCAACAACTATTTAGCTTTGCGCATCGTTATGTATATCTAACTAACTTCCCTTTGTATCATATTATGTATACACTATCTTATATTCGACAAAGGTAGATACATATGGACGCTTAGAGCTTCTCCTTGGGGTCTGTTATCAAATTCGGTAATCTCACCCTTTATAGTCGATAGAAATGTAACTATAGAATTCGTTCATGCCCAATGGAATTGCGTGAGATATATGCATGTTTGAGTTATCATTAAATTAACTCATACACATCTTGATCTTTTATGTTTGCAATTTTATTTGACTATATTGAATCAGATAAAACAATATTTTTTTAGCAAATAGATCGAATAAAGAATGAGATATTTTTATAGTGCTAATTTACTTTATCTTAATTTTTTATTATAACCTTCGCATTTCGAAGTTTAAACTATTAATTTAGTATAAATGGAATTATATAATAATAATAATTTCAATATACAATTATAAATCGACATTTCAATATAATCAGTTAACAATTATACAGATCGAATTTGGCTGTCTGGTACAGTCAGGCGGATACCTTATCACTTTACGATCAAATAGCTTTACTGATCAAAGGCTCGAACACTATATTGCTGAATTAGTTAACGTCGAACCTCAAAGAGAGTTCAGAGTTCGTGGTCACGCCTAGTGTACCTTCGGACGGTTGGTCTTATCACGAGCTGGATCTACACACCTACAGGCTTGATAAAGAATATATCTATTATAAAACTAGGCAAAATACCTCACAATATACCTATACCGCAAAAAGTATTACACAGATTCTGATGTATTCACAAAAGAAAGATTCGTGATTTAACATAATGATAAAATCTGCATATATAATGAGATAGCGAATCGATATTTGAACTGCAGAGTCTACTGCAATTGTTCGCAATAGTAATTAACTTGAAATTAATTTCTTGAAAAATTCTTAGAATCTATTCCAAGTAACCAGGCACGCATTATATGAATCAATCATCCCTTTGCATGTGATCTTACCAAAGATTAGAAACTCAATTGCCAAAATTCTCCTTTTAATCTTTGAATGGGGCTGCATGCAAAATATAGGAGTGTTTCTCGTTATGAGAGCTTAAGGCACACAATTCAGCCTCGACCTTACGGAGACCATTAACGCTAAACACTCATCGACTTCTCAACAATGGTTTCACTCCGAATCATCTACTATTGTGTGTCTACGGGCGCAGAAAGCAGCTTTAACATGCAAAGTGTCTCAAACTTCTAAAGCGCCTTAAGCGTTTTGAACATCTTAAAGTCAAGTACCAGTAAAAAGTCAACCGCGTCTAGAATATTATCTGTAGTAAATCCAGATCCCAAGTAGAGAACAAAAGCGTTGAGAAACTATTGAAAAAACATTTTTCCGTAATATTGAGTAACGTTATAAGTGTCCATATAGGAAAAACGTTAAAAATAACAATTAATTAAAACCATTATATAAAATCACTATATAAAATCATTTTAAAACGTTTTTTTACCCCAGTAAAATATTTTTTTATATAGAATTAATCCAATTTTATTACTAAAATAAATTTTATTAATTAATATCACACATTTCTAAATACACATGACAAAATAATAATAAAAAAAAAAGTATAATTGGGGAAGGAAATTTTTGACTTTACAGCTGTTTCTCCAAACGGTCATCCATCCAAATGTTACTTGACTTTTATGATCGTACGAGAATTAAAGTAATTTTAAACGGTTTTAACAAAGAGATAACTTCTTAAACATTTTATAAATGTTGCTGATCTACTTTAAGTTTAAAGCACAAATACTTGTGGCTGCCTAAATTTGTTTAAGCGCGTATTATGGTAGTCTTCTAACTATTATATTTCTAGATATGATTGTTTTAAATATTGTAAGAAACTGAATTATTATAAACATAATACACACACACACACACACACACACACACACACACATATATATATATAGTAGCTTCTTTCATTAGTGAATTAAAAGAACTTTACTCCAACATCGTTAGGGTCGCAACGGTAAGGGTTCGATCTTCGTGTGGGCGTCCGGGAACGGCGGCCGGGACCATGATAACTGCAATTGTGACGGCTATACCAATAGTATCTGGACGCTGTCGATCAGTAGTGCGACAGAGAATGGCCTTGTGCCTTGGTATAGCGAGGCATGCTCGTCTACTCTCGCCACCACATACAGCTCGGGTTCTACTGGCGAGAAGCAAGTCGTCACTACGGATCTACATCATCACTGTACCAATAGCCATACCGGCACCTCCGCATCGGCGCCGCTAGCAGCCGGCATTTGCGCCCTTGCTTTGGAAGCAAATAGAGATCTTACCTGGAGGGATATGCAACACATCGTAGTTAGAACAGCTAAACCTGCGAACCTGCAAGCACCAGATTGGGTAGTCAACGGCGTCGGTAGAAATGGTGAATAATCATCAATTTATTCTTGATAGAGAGAAAACATTTCTTAAAGATTAAACGCACATGATTTTTTGAAAGAGGAATAAGTTATTGGTTAGATACTAAAATTGAATGACAAAAGTTTTAATTTTTTACAGAGTAAATATAACAATATTATAATTGTTTATGTGTAATATTATAATATAATAATATTGTAATATTATAATATTAATATTTATTGTTTCTATCAGAATATTTTAACCAATTTGTCAGATTCATTTAGTGAATAAATATAAAATTTTAATCTAGATAATAAAATTTATTAATAAAGAAATCAGATAAAAATTGTTTCAATCCGATTTCTGTTTAACAGTGAGCCACAGCTTCGGTTACGGGCTGATGGACGCCACTGCCATGGTACGCTTAGCGAGAAGATGGAGGACCGTCCCGGAGCAACACAGATGCGAAGTATCGGCGCCTCATACAGGCAGGTAAGTGCTCTCAAGTTATGCTTGAAAGTTATCCTATTAAATAAATAATAAGAATTTTGAAAGTTCTTTTTTCAAGGCAAAACCTTGAAAAGAGAATTTATTATTAATATACGAAGAAAAAAAACATTATACAAAGAATCATCGGCTTTAAGAAAAATACTTGAAGGTGAGAGAAATTGGAATTTGATTCAACCATATAGATACTATAGATCGCTATCTGCCCCTTGAGGGAACGAACATGTCTCTCGCAGATTACAGATTCGTCCAAGCATGTCGGCTACTATCAAGCGGACTTTACTTGTATGAAATTGCACTGGAAATCACGTGTAATGCGTCATTTACATTGTCAAGGGTTGTAATGAATGAGAACAAATTGCACGTTGAACGAGCGTTTACATAACATAAAATGTAATCATTTTGAAGCTGCACTCCTCTAAAACTATTAAACATAAAAGCTGTAGTTCTATTCTTTCTACATAATAATCCTGAAAATTTCGTGCTCTTAATGAACGAACAATAGAGAATTATTAATGCGATATAATATTTGTTATTTTAGAATAATATTCAATGTTTGAAAACGAATATAACACAATTGTGTTCTTTTTATCCTACTCTTCAGAAAAAATTGTTATTGATGTTTTGTATATTATTCTTTTATATATATATTAATATGCTAACATTAAAAGAAATTATTTTCATTAAAAAATGTAAAATAAAATAATAATATCAAGTTATATCTTACTACAAAAATATTAATAAGTTACTACTAAAGGCGCTTTCGAGAAGTAGCACAACTCGGGGGTTCTAAAAGTATTTAACAAGTAATGCGCAATTGACCGAATTACTCGAGCAATGATTTAAACAACAAATGGGTATATCCACTTAAAAATATCTGCAATAAAATTGTATGCGCACGGCTTGATACTTAACCTGATTTTTTTCGTATAGGACAATACCACCAAAGAGCCAATTGGTCCTCGACTTACATGTCAAGGATTGCAGCGGCGTTAATTTCCTCGAGCATGTTCAGGTAAGTTGAGCATGTCATTCACAAGTGACATCACTAATTAGCGGATTTCATGTCGGCTATGAGAAGTACAAACTCGGACTACATTTCGAGAACAAAATGTTTCGCCAGCTGACGTTGAAGTAGTAGAATTTTATTTACTTTTCATTTGAATAAACTAATTTGTTTGTCATCATTTTATACTGTCTATGAAAAACTAAGGCAAACTGTAATTTATGCTAAATAGTTATTTAATCCTCAGGAAATTAACTTAAAGTACATTAATGACTGCTTCTGCCGACGAAATGTAATTACTAGATCCGGTTTAAATCTCGTGTTGAAGAAACTAAATGAATTAAGTTAATTACTCTTATAAAATTATTAGTTACACAGCGCGAAATTATCTCATAAAATCTACCCATTCCCATTTATTTTCTTTTTTTGGCTTATTTAACTAGCAGAATTAGACAGTTATTAAAGAGTTATTAATAAAATGTCGCAAAATTATTACATACATAAAGTTATTAATAAAATATTATTATACCAATTTGAAAGTTTTTGCACAAAGATGTGTAGAAAATTGTAAATATTGGTAGTGAAAAATATACGTGATTGGTGATAATGGCATAATGATACGCTTGTCGCAGGCGAAAGTATCGCTGATGGCAGCGAGACGAGGAGATCTTCAGATACAACTAACGTCTCCTCAAGGCACGAAGAGCACTCTTCTCGCTAAAAGGCCGCACGACATCTCGAAGGCTGGTTTCAGCCAATGGCCATTCATGTCAGTGCATACGTGGGGAGAGAGGCCGCATGGAACCTGGAAATTAGAAATTCACAATGAAGGTCGATACCTCGGTAAGTGGATTACATCTTCGCGTTATTGCATAATCAATGAAGAATGTTTGATTAACAATCGTTTGATGAACGCTGTAGTTAATTGGATCAATAATTGAGACTGTATTTAATATGTCATAATTTTTCATCGCTATAACTAGTTACCAATTAAATTAACTGAAAAATTATTAAATTATTTAATTAGATGAAACTCTAATCCGAATTAATTGTTGAATAATTTAGTTTTTAAGTAATTTTTAATGAAATAAATATTAATTAAAATTAGACTTTTAACATTAGAAAAACTGCATTTACCATCTTAACATAATTTTTTTAAGTTATAACAAAATCTAAAAGCCGCTTAAAATTAATTGGACTTATGTAATTTTTCAATGCAAAAAAGTATGCATTTTCCATTATAAAAATGCCAAATCTGAATCCTTTTAATATAGAAAGATTAATTTTGTTAATTAAATTATACTTGACGAAATGACTAATCAAATTAGTTGATAAATACACATTTTAAGAACATTTTAATATACTTAATAATATTAAATTCTCATTAAGCTCTTTTTAATTTTTTTTAATAGGATTTCTTTCAATTGTTATTTGAAATATATGGAATACATTTAACTGGCATTCGTTCAAACACCATTACGCGAAATCTTAGACTTAAACGTCAAAGACAAAGCGCTTTGTAGATTATACTGGCATTAGCTCCTGCATTCGAAGATGTCCTTCGGTCGATTTAAATTTCAAATAGAATTCTACCTTGTTCGCCATAACAATAGTTTCCAAGCGCCTTAGTAACGCCTTCATAAGGTCACGGTTACCAAGTTCCCTGTCAGTTGCATCTTCCAGCCGAAAATGCTCGCAAGAAGTTCGCTGGTATTAACATCTATTTCTGACTTGTACGGGAAAAAATATCGTATACAAGAAATTTAATTCAAAACGCTACGATTATCCATGATATTCTCACGATTTTCATTACTCCTCAATCAATTGTAAACCGTATGATAAAGGATTAACCGATTCATACGCGTAACATCCGGACGGAATGGCTCAGACATGTCTAGCATTGCACGCGCATCCTGCGATCCGATGCCGAGTTGGTGTTCAGCTCCGCGAGATCCTTCGGGATCCACCGCATTCTCATAGCTTCCTGTCTGGGACGCAACGAGAGAGAGAGCTCTTACATAAGACCCATTCGCGTGCAATCGCCTAAGAAGCTGCATTATCCTCAGAGACGGATAATTGCCAGATTCGAGCTGCGGAGTCCTCTCTCGCAAGCTATCCTACTTATCCTTAACGGCAAATAGCAGCGAGGTCACGGAGCAACGAAAGCAGCCGATGCAAGCGTTAAGCCACTTTGAACTGCTTCCGTGTCGGCTCATCAAGGCCGATGGTTACGTAAACTTCCTTATGTGCTTATGCATCGTCGACCTATATCGCTGTAGAGCACATCCACATACATTATAGCGAATTGTATGCTAAAGACGCGAGGGTCGCAGGAATATTCGAGACAGTGTTGAACTATGTATCCAGTGTTTATACTGTCACAAGTATTCCGTGGACGTATCTTGCAAACCTTGAAAGCTGCTGTGCCATCGAATAGGGATTTCCAAGAGGGATAATTCTCTGACGTTCTCGTTAACTTCCTCTTAAAGGAAGCTGGTTTAAGAGGAAGTTAGTGAGAAGGCCCGTTGAGGATCACGCGTATTACAACTTTATCGAACTTCTGACCAACATCTAATCTTTCAACCTCGGTTAATTTTTGACATACCGTATTATTATTTACTGCGTCGTTCAAAGCGCCAATAAGCATTGTATTCCTGTCTCTCTTTAACCATGATATCCGCTTTCTTTTCGCTGCATTCACGGACGCATACGGATCAGGACGCGCTACTCTGCACGAATGGGCGTTGATTTTCTACGGTACCGCAACGCTGCCCGATCGGACCGAATACGCTCTTTACAATCCGGCCGGTATGAGTATACCCAGACGACCGTTCGTCAAGCCACGCGAGACCATCCCGAAGAATCAGAACACCCTGGCGAAAGGCAAGCAGACGCAGCACAAATCCGATAAGTCCGGCAGTATGAGCCCGCCCTACGTAATGAACGCTCAGATTCAGTCCCAGAGGAAGGGAAAGGCCCGCGGTCAGTACAAGAACGGCAAGTCGGCCAATCGACCGAATCCCAAACCCACCGTTCAGACTCTTCGGGGTCTCACCGGAATCAATAGAGGGTCCAACAACGTAGCCGGTGACATGCGTTTGATCACGTCGAGACCACGTGGGAGAAGTACACCCAGCCCAGTTACCAGCACCGTGACTCAGGCCGTTGCGACAACAAAGGCGCAGACTACCACGACAAGTAAACAGATTATTACACAGAAGATCATCGACGTGGTTACCGCCTCGCCTCTTCAGCGGGGACTGATCTTGTTGGAACCACCGGCAAAGGCGGCCACTAACAAAGTCCCGGCGGTATTTCAACAGTATCCCAAGATTCAACAGCTTTATCCAGTTTACGGTGGAGCTCGCGGTACCGGTCAGCATGCCACAAGGGCCAAAGGACTCGACTTGCTGCAGGACGAGCAATTTGACCCAAGGAATCTGCAACTGGACAAGGGTACCTAACGAATGAGAAACGGCGAATGCGTCGGTTGCTTAATGGCAACGATCGGAAGTTATTATATTCGCGCGAAAGTATCATTAGATTTTTACAAAGTCGATTAATTTGAATTTTAATTGAATTAAATTAATTATTGAAATAAAATCTGCAGCAGCGCAGAAAATAGAATTTGAATTTGAATTTAATTAAAATAAATGTAGAAATAAAATCTATTTAATTGCAATAAAATACGAGCACTTTCCCGCTGTTACTATTTCACACAATTAGTTAAGAAATATTGTTATTATTTTAAAATAACATAAGTAAAAAGTACGTTCTACATACTCGATAACCGAATTAAAAATGAATAAATATCATTTATCTACATAATCAAAATATAATCATTTGCATTATTTACTTGATTAAAATGTCTACGAAAAAATGTAGTGTCGCGCACACAGTAATCGCGGTGACTAATAACGTCAATCTATCTACTCTATTGTGTTCCCAACGGCGGTATTTTAAACCGCGGGACAACAAAGAAGGTCGTTTCGCACAGCTTCCGATCGTTTCCCATTCACTTCCACGCATCCGCTCGCGCACCCACGTGAAGTGTGGAAAGTAGAGATGCATCGTGCGCAAAGCCCCGAAGATTAAACGGATCCGCTGGAATTTGGTTTTCGTATTTTCTCTTTTGTGTTAGCTGTTTCGCTGATTGCGACCACACCGTAATCACCGTTACTTTTGTTTGTGTACATAGATACATTATTCCCGGCTATTAATATGCAACACTGTAGACAAGCTTATTTCCCATTATTCATGTTTTTTTTTTATTTAAATTTAAAATATTTCACATGATTCTTATATACCTTTTATTGTAAGTACGATGGAACTCTCTTTTGCATAATACTCTTCTTTCTGAAATGAGAGTCCTCGATGTTTTTTGCAAAACTTTATCTTGTCTGTGACATTTTTGTCGGAATGTTTTATACAAAATATCTTGTATGATATTTCGTATAAAGTATTATCTTTAGTTCTTGTTAGATGGTTCTAGAATCTAGATAATGCTGTAAGTAAAATTTTATTAAATAAATTATATATTTGCATGATTAATGTATGCACGAATAAGAATACATACAAATATTTTTTTATTTTAAACAAATTTTGCTTGTATTACTGCACTTAATAGGTTTGACTTGCTGAGCTTTTGCTGAGAAAATTGCCAGCTTTTTGTGTAATTACTTATAAATTATTTCTAAGTTGTATTTAAGAAAATTGTTCGATGTACTATGTTTTTATATTTTATAAAATATCTATTCTTACATCGTAAGCTATTTGCCATCGCATCCATCGAACTTTCAGGAAGCTCCTTTGTAACTATAAGTAGTATTTTAATATTTTGGATAGTTTTGTCACTCTTTGTGTCAAGTGTCGGATTTTTCATCATGTTGACGCTTTCTGCGTCGCTTTCCTTCCTGTTGTTACACTCGAAGCCTCTTGCGTGAACGGCAGGCTCGATAATAGGAAAACTTATCGAGGGCGCTATAGCCTTCAATCACAAAACTTTCAATGACTTAGTTATCGATGAGCTTCATATGCAGCCTCGACCGCATCAGTATGCGTCGGTTATCTAATGTATTGCCGGCATGTATCGCCTTGTATCCTATTATTCTCATACTCCGTATGCAGACCATTGTCTTCTGCACTAGAAAATTGTGCATTCTGCTCGCGAGAAGTATATATAATATAATATGAGTTAATAATTATGTTAGATATTCCATATTTTAGATATTCTATTAATATTTTTGTATTTGTTGCTCTATTTATCATAAAAAAAAATAACTGAAAGAGATAATATATTAAGAAAATATATTTTTTTTCATATATAAATAATAAAAACTTCATATTTTGTTATATTTTATTTGTTTTGTACCATCGTTTTGATATTATTATCATATACCTTAATTTAAACATATTAATAATATGAAAATTTTCAGGATTGGTAAACGTTACTTTTCAATTACTTTGTCATTTTTATAGTAAACAATTTGATGACGATGTTGCAATTTTTTATGACGGCAACGCTAATTAATTAAATGTTAAGGTTGTGCTAAGATTAAAAAAATCACTTTGAAAAATAACTTGTCATCATTATACATTACTTATTGAAAAAAGTAACAAGTAACGAGTAAAAAGTAATGCGTTACAAATTAGGAGTTTTTTTTTTTTTTAGTAACGTATGACTTTTTCAACCCATTACAAGTAACAATTGACTTTTCTAACTCTGTTAGTATTACCGTCGTAAAAAATTCACTATGTTATTAAAATCGTTATTATAACAAAGTAAACGATCAACAAAGTAACGGCGTTACAAATATCACGTTACTTGCTAACTCTGAAAATTTTTTTATATTTTAAAGTAATAACGAAAATTCGTAAATTTCACAAATGGTGTTCATGATTGCGCGTTGCGCTTGTTATCTCCTTTTCAAATTCTCGAATTCTAGATCACCGCGTAACCGCAAATCACTCAAAATTCAGTGAAACGCGACGACGCGAACGGCACTGAAAACCGCTAATGCGTGCCATGAAATGGAAAAGCCGACGAGAGCAAAACGAACCCCATCATGGTGGAGACCGAGCGACTCTTCTCGTCCATCATCGCTGCTAAATAATTTCCTCCATGATTGGAAATTTTTTCACTCGCTTACTCCGCAAAATGGTTCCCGCTCTCAAGGCATTATTATTGGAGATTTCTCTCCTCCAATAGTACGCGCTAACGACCTATCGAGCACAATGCCCTTATATTTCCATTGTCTTACGAATAGCCTGCCACATCGTCCCAATCGACTTTTGACATTTTTTTGTTTCTCTCTCATCATCCTCCCGCTTATTTCCACCAACCCTCGGTTGCAAGTTATTTTCTCGATACTTCTGGTAAAAGCGAGGGAGCTGTCCAAGCGTCGCGACGCTTGTCACTTTACAGTTACCTAGCGTACTCGTAACAGCGAACATTTTAACGATTACTTTATTATAGCTGGCAGCCGGTAGTTTACGGTTGCCAGCCAAAAAAGCACACACGAGAGCAGTCTCGTCACGATAAATTGGATCCGCTTTTCCGCCGCTTTGATTTCTGGTATCCCGTCACAACTCTCCGCTTGTGAAATTTAGCTTTTCCCACGGGATTGATTTCATCTGAAGCTATATATGTACGTTTTAACTTTACTGTGCTGTGTACATAAACAAGATATAAATTAATATGAACGTCTAAAAAAATTAATTTATTTCTTAAGGAATGAACGTACGTTTCATCGTAAATGAAGTAGGAAATAATAAATATTTCGAGAACAATATATTCGAATTTATGTTTATTATCGATAACCAAGCATGATGCTTTATCTTCAATTAATTCTTTAAATTTATTTTTTTATTAATATGCAAATCTTGTTAAATTGTAACATGGTTGAAACCAGTGGTTGAGTATGAAATAATTTTCTGAGCTCTTAATACCTGGCTGAGAAGAACATGATATTTAAAATTAGCTTCCATTTAGCTAGCTTTTTCGTTTTGCCCGCAGCACAAGGAACTTGCAGATGTATCTTACCCGAAGTAAAAACGATAATCGTCCACGAGTTTTTACTATTCTCTCGTTGCAAAGCACTTTGCATTTAATTCCGACGTACACATTGCGCTGAGTGAATGTGCGCGGAGAGTCGTCGCTGATTACTCGGTTATTTTTAACTCTAATTTAATCAAGTCTTGACTCTTCCTCCCCCGCATGCATTTCCCTTCTATCGCGAACATTGTTCCCGCGAGTCAGCTTAGGACGAAATTTTCCCCACGGTGTCCCGACGCTTTATTAATTTCCTGGACGGCGCCGACGACGTCTCCGCCACTCCTTCCGCTGTCTCGCTTGCGTCTCGTCTACTTCGCAAAACCTTCCATTTTACCGCCTTCACTTCTCTGCGAAATACAATATCTTACGTTATATTTGCGAGCAAGGTCGCGGAATAATTTGCGAGAAAGTGAAAAGCACGTTATTCAACAGGCAGATGAAAAATTAGTACGTAGATACGTTCGATAATTATAATTTTGCTGCTCTGTGATGATTTATTAACATGAATATTTCATAAGGTTTGTGTCTTAAAAAAATATACACTTTCACGTTATTATATACATAAGACGTTATTAAAGTATTAATATTTTTATATTATCTGGAGATAATTTAAATTCCGTTTCCATCAGAACCTCGCTCATGAAAATGGTGCTGCGAGGTCTGTGAGCTTTCGTTTCTATTCTCAGAAATCCACGGTACGTATACCACGATACGTAAAATCTATCAGGGTTGATTGTAATCGTGCATGTATGTACTTAATGTAAAGATGACAGTAGGCAGTAGTTATTATTGTGTAATTATTATAGGAGACAAGTACGTTATTCTTAGTTCATTCTTCGCTTACAGAGCAAAGATAAAACTGTGGCACGCTTGGATTTTTTAAATTTTACATTAATTGCATATGTATATATTACATGTTTGTCAAAAAAATTACAATTATTTAAAGAGTATTAGAGGCAGAAGTATTTTCAAATATTAAATAGAAAGAAGAATTTTGCAGAAGAATAGTTTTGGCATTAAATTTTGACAATTATTTCAATTTCTTTTCTACTTTTTTTTATGTGCTATATCTTTTCCGTAACCTTTTTCTGTCTCCAATGCTTTAAATTTCTATGTGAATCATCTTCGCGAAGTGTTTCGCACTCATATGAACTAGTTATAACTACACGGAGAGGACGGCTTTGCTGAAGTAACTAAAAATTTAGCTAGATGCAAATTTGAAAATAATTTTTGAAATATCAAAATAATCACGGACGTTGAAACTTGTTAGAATGTCAAAATATTTTGGCAGCGTTGATCATCATGTTTGAAATTATACATAATTATTTTTACAATCAATACTAAAACAATGCATATTACGATTAAAGCTGGATCTTTGTTGCTTTAAATAATTCAATCTTGAATTACTAATATACATTATATATATGTACTTACATATATACCATATTGTAGTCTTTTTAGAATTGCAATTAAAATTACTCTAAATTTATTAACAATTTCATATTAACATCTTTATAATATGATGCTTGATGGTAGCATCAAATTATTGAATTGCTTGTCAATTTAATTCGCGATTACTAAAATAGTTTTAATTGCGTTTATAGTCCGGAAAAACAATTCGGCACGCAGTTTTAAAAAAACTACAATACGGTATATATGCAAGTATATATATAGTGTATATTAGTAATTCAAGATTGAATTATTTAAAACAATGAAGATCCAACTTCGACTGTAATAAGCATTTTTCTAGTATTAATTGTGTTTCTCACATATGCGATCTAAAACAAAGATTCTTAATACTGTTTATAATTATTTTCAAATCTGTATTTAGTTAAATTTTTAGACACTTCAACAAAATCGTTTATTGTATTATTAGAATCGTGCTAACATAGATGGGGTTGTTGTTCTAGACACTCTGGAGGAGTGGAAGCTTGTGTTCTTCGGCACGGATGCCTCAGTGGAAGTGGACGACGAGCTAGACAAGGACAAGCCGCTGCCGCCAGTGGTCCATGAAGAAGTCAACAACGCACCTTCGGACGTCCGGCACAATACTGTGGATACCGAGGGCGATCCGTGGACAGGCAGCCGAAAGATGGATCGAGTCTCACATCCAGAGGTGCAGAGGCCAACAACGGAGAACCAGACGAGCGGTTGTGCCGCCTTCGAGGCCGGAGGCAGCGGGTGCCTAGGTGGGTGCCTCATACTACTCCTTCTAGCCTACCTGACCAGCGTGCCCGGCTGGCGAGAGTTGATCACCAGCTGGCCTGCCTCGACGAACAGTCGGAGCGAATTTGGCGCTGAGGCGGATCGGCTGCTGATTGCGGCAACGAACGTCGTCCCAACGACGACGTCGACGTTGTGGGTTAGCAACGCGACGACGCAACGCGTCCCGGCGGCGATACATCGCGCGCCGGAAGCGTGCAGGTGTTCATGATGACAGAGGGTCGCGTTTAGCTCCGCGACGGCTCGCGATTCGATCCTATGACTTCGGGTCACCAGGATTGTCAACGCGGGTGACCGCGCGGATCTTGTGTGCCTGACGCAGTCTTGTGATCCGTGAAATTCTAATGTACTTGTGATGCGTAAAGAGAAGGTATCGCGCGTAAAAATTGAAAGAGGGGAAGGGAACAAAGAGGAGAATTCGTGCTTTCTCTCCCGGTGCTGATTGTCTCGAGAAGAGATCAATACTGGATTATCATCTGTCCTTCTCTTCCTGAGAAAAAAAAACGAATGTGTGTTGGATGGTGGACACATCGAGTCTGAGGACTCTATGGCTCCGTTAGAGTGTTCCTCGTGATCAGGGAAATGCGATTTTCACGTTAACACGCGCCGTTAGACTTGGCCTAATTCATTTGTATCGTGCAAGAAAGTGAGTCTCTCATAGTCGACACGAAACGTCCGGACGTCATGTGACAACACTCTACTCGTCAGGAGTGTTAATGGTAGCTTCGACTGATCAAAGTTCATCGCGATGAGGATGCACGGGAAATGGAATTAAATGGTTACGAGGCAGGAAATGCGTAGCTTTGTTACCGGTTGCATGATGAATTCTCGATTTCTTGTTGAAAGCGCTCATTTCTGGACGAATTTGACATAGAGCATCCTATATTTAGACTATTAAAAAGATCTCTTCTTTTTTAATATTATTATAGACTTAGCCAATTGTAAAAAGTTAATACCAATTAAACCGATACATATTCGTGTGTCAATTTTTTCCAACTTTTTCATATTAAAAAATATATAAGTTTCGAGCTACGAGAAATTTCAACGAAACTATATGTATTAGACAGCGGAAGTTTGCGGGAAGCTTCATATAATAATTTTATGATATTATTGTCGCAAATCCCAGAGGAAATTTAACATTGCAAATTTCTCGGTAGATACAAGGAAACATGATTTTTTTTTATGTTGCACGACCTAGTGTTGTATTCTATCTTTCTTTCTAAAATAATGCGCAGTAAATTTACATTATTTATTCTATTATTTACCTGGTAATGGAACAAATAAGAGAAAATGTAAATGCATTATAATCCACAATAATAAATAAAGAATAGGCATATTTATTCTTTATTTATTAATTGTTATTTAGGATTTAATATAATGCGCGGAAATCGAGAATTCATTATTTTCCGAAAATTTTCTGTCTCATAAAATTGCTACAGTTGCAGCTGTAATTCTATGGACGCTTGTAAATATATGCAAAACGTATTTATTATACTTCGCGAAGTTACGTACGATCTTAGGAGTTTCAAAAGTAATGGCGCTGCGATCCCGTGGTATCCTCTTCCGCCATGTTGAACGAAGCAGAAATGGGTAAACAACCAATGTTTTGATAAATGTATTCTAGAACTCTGCTTGACTTTTACTGAAAGCAATCGTAAGGATAGTATAATAAACCTTAAATCTACATTCGCTATTTTAACTGACACTGTATTTAGCATCGGCAAAGATGGCTAATTGAGTTTATGTTTTATTTAATTAATACAAAGAATTTGTATTTAACTTCATAAATTAAATAGCATGTTGTTTAATTTATGTTACTCTCAGCATCAAAGATGCTCAATAAAAATTTAGCTACATTTCTTCTTCCATGTATCTTCTTTTAATTCCATGATGATTCAAGTGCAACATTACATTTGTGCACATTAAACTGAACATTAAATTTTCTTCTAAAAATAAAATCAAATTTGTCTCAAAGTTTTAATTGAAGACTCGAAAAAAAATCTGAGTGATTAAATGTAATGCTATCTATTTTGCTCAATTCTGCTCAACGTTTCAGTCGAGGCCCGCCATACGTGACAGCGTCCCATATTCGCATGTGTAATTTTCCACGTGAACTTTTTGTACGAGACAAAAATATAACAGGGAGCCAACTGCCATTAGCGAGATCCGACTCGCCCGGTCTCGCGCCCTGCCTCTCCTGGAAAAATTGCCTCGCGTAATTTATAATACATCTGATGGAGCTGCTTGTTGTTTACTTCAGACACTTGCCACGTCGTCGATTTTGATCGACGGATTTTGGCTTCAATGTGTTCCAGGGGAGAAGGGAGGGAACAGTTTTTCTCTCGCCTTCTATTTCTTCTTCTCCTTTTCCTCTATCTCTCCTTCTCTTCTCTTTCCTCTTTTTCTAGCTCACTCACTCAAATGCACGAAAACACATAATCTTTCTGTTCTTCTCTATCTCTCTTTCTCTCTTTCTGAGTCTTTTCATCTATCGGTCTGCATCCCTTTTGTTTCTCAACATCTTTAACATCCTCCTGTCTGCCAGCTTTCTTACATTCTGAACCTTCCTTCACGCTTCATAAGCACTCTGCGTCCTTCCAAGGAGGTAAGATATTCGGTGAGCTATTAGCACTGCCGAAACTAGAAGCTATAGGGAGGTTCTCCGGCTGCATATGTAAACAGTTGGGGATAGAGTACATGAGGCTGTATGTGGATTTTGGATGCATGTTGAACCACGGGCTTTGTCAAGTACATGGTTAACGATGGTGACCATGTACTTAGAAACTTACTTTGATGAATAGTTACACCGTTTTTTATTGTTAATATTATACTATTATATGTATTATTCTATTAACAGCAAATGTGCTTTCGTTATTCTTAATATAAATAAGGTCAACATGCAAAGTTTCGCGAAAAAGATAATGATCAATGAAAAAGGATACTCTAGATTGTTATTGAAAAATGTTATAAATATACAAATATGTATATTATATACTTTACATTACTTTTAATAATTTAATGAAAAGAAAAGAATCGTGTTTGTACCACGAATATTATTCATATGTATTCCATAATTCACATCCGGTCTCGAAAGTACAGTATATCAAATTTTCGACACGAAACTTGCTCAAAACGTTGTTAACTATGATAATTAAAAATCGCGTGATCCACAGGCGTAAGTAATTAACGCCCTCAACGCTTAATCGATTCGATGGCGATAAGAATGTCGCATCGTTAAACGATCCGATATTTTCTGAACAATTTTTAGACCTCGTTTTGCTTGGAATATCAATAAAAACTGGCGGATACGTTCTATTGCTAGCTTAGAGGTGATCGCGCGTGCTTTGTAAAAATTTCGATTGTGGGGATAAGCGGTGAACTCGACGAGAAAGCCTGAGCTTCACGACGAGTTGACGGGGCGATTTTTCTTTATCGGGGAACGATCGTCAACGAGTTATCGAGTCGGAAGGAAGTTTTCACCATCGAGAATCCGCCACTGCGAAAATTCGTTTCTAGGATTTACGATTTATATCAACGCGCAGAATCCAATCATGTTCCGTCGAAAGTTGTAGGCCACAAATCAGAAGTTAACTGCGCACGACAAGCCAGGAATCGAATTACAATGGATATATTGTTATGTCTGCTTGGATAATGCATGCCGATTATAAACAAAACACGAACAGTTTTGAATGTTTGTACAAAAATCATGGGTTAAGAAATTAATATGTTCGATATCCACAGATATCGTCATACCTCGATCGAAAATCATACAAAGATATAATATTGGGTCATTTAAAAAGTATCCGCGGTTTTTTCATTCAAAAATTGAACAAAAAACCGCGGATACTTTTTAAATAACCTAATATATATTACCATTCATTTAAATTAGTCAATAATTTATTATTACTTTATTAATTTTTAACTAAATTTAACTATTAGGTGTTGGAATTAATTCGTAGCGTTTTTTAATGAAAGAATGTTATTTATTTCACATGAGCATTAAAAAATACATTAATGAAAGTACTTCCCATCACTTGTAAAACGCTACGAATTAATTCCAACACCTAATAAAATTTTTAAGATATGAATTTGATTAACATTTTACAAAAGACCCGAAAAGATACGCGATCGACCTGTATAAAACTTTCGTGGCGCATCAGTACCTACTCTAGAAACTGATGCATCACCGAAAAGCTGAACAATCATACGAAAAAGGGAATATTGAATGGCTACGGAAATTAAATTGACGTTACAGTCGCAATACTAAACGTCGCTTTCCAAGCAACGTCCTGCGAATGAAACGTTTGTGATTTTTCGAGATGCACTGATGCTCTAATGGATGGCTATCGAATGCAATCACGAGGAAAAAAAATGTATGCTCGAATATATCAATTCCTGGATCTGACAACTATCTCGGTCAAGAGACGAAAAAATCGGTCAAGCATCTGCTTCAAATACATTCAACTTTAAAATTAGCACTCGTCATATAAATTTATGTATTATTAATATATTGAATAAAAATAAAATAATATTTTATTATTTTACTTATATATCTATAAAATAATAACAATGAAATAATAATACATTAAAATAATTACGTTAAAATGTAATTATTATAGTATGAAATATGGTAGCATAATTAGTAACAAAAGTATTTGTTATGTTCAAAGATTTAGTACTATGTAAATATTTTTTTAATTACATAAGCAAGAATATTACATTTTCAATCTTAAAAGAATAAATGCCATATATTTTATAGTAACAGTGATTTAAAATTTAGATACGACTCTTCACCGCTTTCGATTTTTAAAATATGTTACCATGCATCTCACACATATCAAATTATTACGATATTTGATTTATTTTTGTTGCTCGACTTCAATATTTCTTTTATCGAACATCGTTGCTCATAGCGGAAAAATAAAGCAAAATTCTCACATTATTAAAAGAAAAGTTCAAGTCGATT